ACACTGGGAGCAGGGCTGCGCCAGCATGATGTCCCCACTTGGCAGTGGGGCGCTCCCAGGAGATGCCCGAGCTTTACCCGCAGTCTCCTTCCCCAGGCGGAGCTGAAGCCAGAATTTCCCCTCTGATGAAAGAACAAAACCCAAACATCTTAATTGCAAATTGATGCTTATTAGCTAGAGATAAACTTAAAAAACTGGAACACATGATCAACTGAATCATAGAAAATCTTATGAAAATGTATCACTTTTAATCTTAAAAACTACATTAAAAACTAGTCACATACCCCAGAAGACTTTGTTTTGCACTTGAAAAGAATCCATGAAAACTCCACTCAAAATGATCCCCATCTCCATCTGTGTGCAGGTGGGTCTGTCTGTCACAATGTCAGAGGTTACCCGCCAGATGTGCTTGTGAACATCAAAACTAGCCAGACAACAAGTGGCATGTCAGCTTAGTTTCCAAAATCCAGGATCACTCCAGAGAAGACTTGCAACATCAGACCGCAGAGCCCACTCCCTGGGTCTGTCAGCTCTATACTCAAGCTTTCCATTTAATCTTGATGTTTATAACACAGCCAAAATAAAGTGCTTCTTTGAAAACAAAAAATAAAATCACAGTTAAATAAACCCAATGGCTTTTCTGCATCTGTGTCTGAGAAGCTGAGGGTGTTTCTCCACCTCCCATGTACTGCTATCCTAACTAAGTTCATGCTTTGGTTTAACTTTTCACCAAGTATCTCGTTGCCATTCACAGGATACTTTTTCCCATCTCACTTCCTTTCTACAAGGAAGACTGTGTTGACCCGAGAAGGGAAGGAGGCATCTCACACCCATGCTCAGGGCGCACCTTGAGAACAGCGTCACTCTTTGAGCCATGGGAAAGCGACACATGCCTGCTGTTCCACTGCAGTGTGCTAAAGCTCTTTAAGGAAAGCAAACAGTGCTTCACCATACACGTTCTTGTGAATTTAGTTTTCGAATCTCAGTAATCCACCTAACTGTTATTAATAGCTGTTTTACGTTCTGCACTGCTGGGAGCCATTAGCCAAGTAGGTATGACAATTTCCTTGCCAGCGTACCCCATGTTGCAGTGACATTGAATGTAGGTGACCTTGCTCAAGGACCAAGGCGGATTAGGGCGTTCCCAGTTTAGGTTCCAGGTTTAAGGTTTAAGATTATTCCTGCTGGGAATAGGGCGTATCCTGCTGCCTGAGTTCCCCTTGAGTTCTCACGGGATTCAGACAGTATTCTTTGGGAGATAGAAGCCCAGTGGAGGTGGATTTGGGCAGAGAACGTGGATTTGGGCAGAGAACGTGGATTTCCCCAGAACGTGATTGTAGACGGCTGGTGTGAGTTCGGGAATAAAGAGTTGCTGTTTGAATCTACAAGCTGTGTGGTGGCTCGTGATTGTGTGCCCAGCCAGACTGTGGCACTGCACCACACCAGCAAACACACGAGCACCTCGCATCAGGAGTACCCAAACGTCACGATTTTCCTCTACAAGCCTTAAGAAAATTAGGGGCTATTTCAACAGCCAATCTGGTCAGAACCTCTGAAGGCAAGGATTGCATGTCCCAGGAGTAACTGTGCCGCACACACAGGGTGTAGCAGTAATTGGGATCTTTAGGTATGTGCTCAATGCTCCAGCTGACTGTGGTGGAAGCCACCCATGATGGCTTAGGTCTGAATTGACCCTCAAAATTCATTTTTAAAATGCACATGAGGTGGTGTCATCATGAAACTCAAAAATCAAGCAAGACGCTGCCTTCCAGGAATCAGGCCTGCGGCAGACTGTCCTGGGTCCTGGAAGCACCTCCCGAGTCCTGCTCTTCGTTGTCGTGCCTCGAGTCAAATGCTTTGGAAGCGAACATCTTCACATTATTTTGCCTCCATTATTGGACATGCACAAATTAACTTGTGATTTTAACAGAACTAAAGTTGCTTTGTGTTCCGCCTGTTTTCGCCTCTTCATACTACAGATTTGTTCAGCTTCACCTGGACCTCGATCAGAAGTTCTGCATTCCTTGGAAAGATGACAGGGAAGGCCTGACGGAAGGACTGCAGTTAACTGGGCTGGCCACCGCAAGACAGACAGGATGAGCTGGCAATGCTCCTTGCTGTCAGGGATGAGCTCCCCCGAGTCCACAAGGGTCCTCCTTGAAGAGGGAAGACACTGTCCACTGCACTGCCCCCTCTAGGAGGCAGGGGAGCCTGCCGAACCCAGGCAGAGGGCTCTGTCCTCTAATGAAGCCCCGCAGAGCTGGTGGGGAATGAGATCCCACATACAGCCCAGACAACACAGGGCTTGCTGCAGCCAGCCTGGGGTCCTGGTAAATGCTGTCGACGAGGGGACATCCGAGGGACGCCAGGCTCCCTGGGCTGAGCCACCACAAGGCCACAGCACAAATTGGCCTTACTGACCCTCAGCACTCCTGGCCAGGGCTGATCCCATCTGTTGGTATCAATCAACTTTCTGTTGCTGTGACCAGGACCGACTTAGGTGGGGGAGTTTATTTTGGGGTCATGGTTTCAGAGTTCAATCTGTGGTTGGTGGGTTCCATTGCTCAGGGCCCGAGTGGGCAGAACGTCACCTGGAAGGGTGTGGCAAGGGAAAGCTGCTCGGCTCAGGGCAGCCGGGAAGCACGGAGCTCTGCTCACCAGGGACAAATAGAACCCTCGCGAGCACCCCCAGTGACCACCTCCTCCAGCCGCACCCCACTCTACAGCTTCACCAGTAAGTCCATTCACACAGGGTGGACTGATTAGGTCACAGCTCTCACGGTGGGATCACTTCACCTCTGAACATTCCTGCAGTAACAGGAGTTTTAGGGAACACTCCTAACAGGCAGCTTTTCCGCCGGCTCGAGGCGGACTTATTACTGATGAAGCTGGGTGCCTGCATCGAGGGCTTCCTAAGAATCCACCAAGTTTCCAAACCCAGACTCAACCCCCTTTTGAAAGGGAGGACTACCTTACTTCCAAGTTGCCCTAGGGAACTTGTTATCAGCCAAGCAAAGCCAGGCACCTGGTGTCCTATGAGAAAAGAAAACAGATGCAGAGGGGCACAGAGAGATGGCAGGAGGACACAGCAAAAGACATGGAGCCTTGGAAGAGATGTCCACAGCCAAAAACCGGCAAGGACTGCCCAGAGGCAGCTGAAGCCGGAGGAGACAGGACGTCAGTGTAGCCCTGCCAGCACCCTGCAGGAGGAGACCCGCCTGAAGCCAGCTTATAGACCCACAGCAGCTTGCACTGTTGGGGCTGGAACCCAGCAAGAGCACCAGCTTCATGTCATCCGTGATTCTGCTCAGAGGTGACCTGGCTGAGCGTGGGACTCAAATTTCAGGGATATCATGAAGTGTCCGTGAGGTAGGAAGAGTTGGATCAGGAAAAATGGCCTCAGCTCTGTATAGTGAAAAGTAAAATAAACCACCACCACCACTGATCCATGGGTAACTGAGATGAAGCAGAATAAGGGTCTGGGGGCCCAGGGACATAAAGCTGTTAGGGTACAGCAAAGTCACGTTTCCCTACCTGGACTTACTCTACTGCATCCCCAAAGCCCCCTCCACAAAAGGTCCAGACCCCAGGTGCCTGCAGGAGAGGGAGGGTGAGACCCACATGGGTGCTCAGGGGTCCAGAGCGCCTGACCTTGTGGGGAGGAGCTCACCTTCCAGCCTGCCCCGCTGAGCCCTGCCAAGCCACCAGGCATCGGTCAGGGCTTAGCCCAGAGGACAGCCACCACCAGGCGCTCCTGCGTGCCCGCCGTTCCCTGGCCAGATGCCTCACAGCGAGGGTGGCACATGCCCTTCTAGGGAGCTGCTTGCAGGACGGGACCCGCCCTGTGAAGGTCCTCTTCCAGGAAAGGCGGGGCAGGACGAGGTCGCAGCTGGCTCTCACTTGTAATGAAGAGTTACAAGGCTTGGCCTTCGCCCCCAGAGAGTTGGAATGAGCAGTATTTCCTTTGCCAAACGCTGTAGAAGCACAACAGAATGTGAGCAAACTCAACAGGAGGCAGCTAGGTTTCTGCAGATCGGCCTCCGAAACGCCCGGCTGGTGAATCATGGTGGGTTTGGAAGTGCTCGCAACCCGCCCTGGCTGTGGGGAGCCCTGGGGCCAGCTCCAGAGTCCAGAGACAAAGGACAGCTCCTCTGCAGGAGCCAGCCATCAGCCTTCCTGTGAAGGCCTTTGTGTGAAGACGTGGAAGAGACATGCTAGTTCTTTCTAGTTTGTCTTTCAGTTTTCCCTCTGTTGCTCAATTGCACAAGGAAACGTGAGGGTCTTTGTAAGTGCTATTGCTCTGTGTCATCCAGGACTCGGCTGTTCAGGGCTCTGAATTGTAATAATACTTGATCAAATGAATTTGTTACACAGAACATGCGTGGACTGATGAAAAGCCATAGGGCCCTATAAAGTAGACTTTGGAAATTTATTATTAATTCAAACTACCAGCAATTTCAAAAGTAACTGCTTTATTGAGATGCAGTTCACACACCATACATTCACCCATTTGAAAGGTACAGCTCCCTGGTGAGTAGTCTATTCTCAGCTGCACAACACGAGTACCACCCTGGATAGGGAATGGTTTACGGCTCACCAGCCCCTCAGCTGCCCAGGTGACTGATCTGCCCCCTGTCCCCACAGGTCTGCCAACTGCGGGCAGCCTCGTGGAGTCAGGCGACATTCCCTTCGGCCTGTGCAGGTCCAGTGTTCTCAGCCCTGCTTCTCAAAAACACTGCCCTCTCCCGCTTGGAGGGTCTGGAACCCGTCAGAGCCACCTGGCCGCATGCTGAGGGTTTCTATCCTGGACCCCATGCTGCTGCCCCCGTCGCTGTGCCCGTCTTCACAGCAGCACTGACCCGGAGTGACCGCTGCAGCTTGTGGAGAGTCATGAAATCAGGAAGTGCCATTTCCCTCAGCTCACTCTTCTCTTTCAAGGTTGCTTCATCCACTCAGGCCCTTGTGATGGGGTGAACTCCGGGATTTGCTTTTGCTACTTGAGCAAAAAAAGAGTGGTTAGAATTTCTGGAGACTGCAGCTCCGACATCTGCACGGCACTAATTCTTCCAGTCCGTGTGGATGGGACGAGTTTCCATTTATGAGCACATTATTCAGCTTCTTCTGGTGAGTTTTGGTCATTTTTGGTCATGGTCATTATACATCTTTCACCTCCTTCCTGGAGTTTACTGCTATGATTCTTAGTATTGATAATATTCTGAATGGAATTGTTCTTCTAATTTCCTTTTACGTGTTGTTCACTGTTTGTATATAAAAATGAACTTGAGGCGGCCAAGGGAGGCCCTCCCCCGAGAATGTCCACCTGCCTGGGGGTCCGCGCTGGGGGGCTCTCCGCAGGGTCAGCGGGATGCCGTCTGCACCGAGCCCGATGACAGGGGAGTCAGGTCTTTCCCGCGTGCCTTTGGTGTCCAGGGATCTTTTCGGGAAGGGTCCGCCCGTGCAAACGGTATTGCACCCACCTTCTGTGCTGGAGGGCGCTGGGTGTGCGCAGGCGGACGCGCGTGTCTACTCCAGCGTGTCTTCTCCGGGCCTCGTTCTGAGTGTCCCCGTTTGGTAGAGGTCTGAGTCTTTCATCAGGTCTTAAAGTCAGTGCCGAATCTAAAGGTGGCATTTACCGGCTCACACAGGCAAGTCCTGGGATGTGCTGGTTGCATCACGAGCTCAAAGGAAGTGTCCCGAGAGCAGTGCTTTCTAAAGGCTCTCTCAGTTCTACTTCCTTTTGAAAAATTTGCATCCTCCCCCCTACCACACCCCTGGAGGGCCCCAGGAACTAGGATTAGGCTACACTCCCGGACCTTCTAAAAGTTTTGAGACAGGGTCTTGCTGAGTTGTCCAAGTTGGCGTCTAGCTTGAAATCTTCCTTTTTTCTTTCTTTCTTCTTCTTTTTTAAATATAAACTTAGTGCTCAGACAAGTTCTGTGCAGTTATTTCCATCTCATTTTGTAGCTTAGTCAAAATAGAGAATTTTTGTTAAGCTCACTTTCATCAAATTATTGGTTTTGATTTAAGAAGAACAAATCTCAAAGCAATAAAGAGGCAAGTCAGGCGCTAGGTGCATCCAAGTCCAAGTCAGTACCATCTGTCTCCCAGTCAGTTCTTTTTTTTTTTTTTTTTGCACCAGGGATTGAACCCAGGATGCTTAATTACTGAACCACATCCTCAGCCCTTTATTTTGAGACAGGGTTTTGCTAAGTGACTTAGGGCCTCATTAAATTGCTGAGGTTAGCTTTGAATAGAGACTCTCCTGCCTCAGCCTCCTAAGTCGTTGGGATTAGCACCACCATGCCCCACCAGCCCAGTTCATTTTGTCTCTGTTTCCTTTACTCCCTGTTACTGACTGTTGTCTTCCCTTCGGAGTCCGAAGTTGAAGCCAAATGGGCAATAAGGCCTTTAGGGAGGTCATTAAGGTTAAATGAAATCTGAGAGAGAGGCCCCATCTGCTATAAGTGGTGCCTTTAGAAAGAGGAAGAAACCATAGACCCTGCCCCACTCTCTGAGCGTGCAGGAAAGGCCATGGGAGGACACATCCAGAAGTTCATCTCCTCTAGTCACCAGAAACTCAATTTGTTCACATTTTCACCATGGACTTGTAGCTTCCAGAACTTGAGAAAATAAATGTCTATTGCTTAAGCCAAAAAAAAAAAAAATGAACTTGATTTTTGAATTTTTTAATATGCATCTTGCAACTCTGCTGAGTTAATTTATTAGTTCTAACAGCTTCCGTGGAATTTGGGAGATTTTTATATATATATATAAAAACATGCCATCTGACAACTGAGGTGATTTTGGCTCTTCCTTTCCAGTTTGGATGTTGTTCCTTCTTCTCACCTGATTGTCCTGGCCGGACCTTCCAGCACTATGGCAAACAGGAGTCACAGAATCAGGTCTCCCTGCCTGGCTCTGATGGTAGAGGAAAGCTCTCGGTCTCACCACAGAGGACAAGGGTCTACAGGGAGTGTTCACAGGTGGCCTGTCCTACAAGGTCCTGAGGGCAGTCTCCTCCTGTCACTCGCTTCTCAGTGTGCCATGTTTGGCCACATGCTTGTTCTGCATACATTGCAATGGGTGCATAGTTTCTGCAGTCCCTCCTGTGGACGTGGTTTGCCACACTAGTGAATTTGCACACATCGAACCATTCTTGCATTCCAGGGATAAATCTCACTTGATCATGGCATATAATCCTTTTAACATGCTACTCAATTTTGTTTTCTGGAATTTTGGCATCAATGTTTATAAAGAGTGTTGGTGTACAGTCCTCTAATTGTGGTATCAGGGTAATGGAAATATTCCCCCTTAAAGTTTTTGGAAAAGTTCAAGAAGGATTTATGTAAGCTCTTTATGTGTTTGGTGGAGTTCGCATGTGGAGCCTTTAGGTCAGGGGTTTTCTTTGTTGGGAGATTTTGATTATGGATTCAATCTCTATTGGCTTTAAGTCTACACCGATTTCTATTTCTCTATGATTTAGTCTTGATAGGGTTTGTGATTGTAGGAATTGATTTCTTTTATCTGAGCTGCCCAATGAATTCTTCATGGTAGTCTCTTGCCATCTTTTTATTAAATCATGTAGAGAACAAAGAGTGGAGTTACAAACCGAGTTCCAGCCACACCAGGTCAGAGTTGCTGTGTGTCTGCCTTCAGGGAAAGCGTGTTTCCACACCACTCCGAGCACTGGCTGGTGTCCTTGACTTGCCCTGCAGCTCCCTCTTTCGTGGCAGGTCTGCCCGTGATCAGCTCCCTCAGCCCTCATTTGTTGAGAACGTCTGACTTCCTTGGTTTTGAAGAACCACTCTCTGGACACTGGTGTCCTGGTTGGTGGCTACTTCTTCCTTTTGGCCTTTGAATGTACGTGCCCACTGCTTCCTGGTCTCCCGAGAGAGCTGTTCTGATGCCCTCCCTGGGGGCTGCTCCAGCCCTTTCTCTCCTGATGCTCTTCTCCCCTGGCTCTTTCTCCACAGCCTCGGCTGCCAGGTTGAGGTGCCCCCCCACTTGCAGTGCACTGAGCTTCTTGGAGGCTGATGTTCATGTCTTTTATCAAATTGAGAAGACTTCAGAGTTGCTTCTTCAGATATTCCACTGTGCCTCTCCTGAGAGGCCACATGCCCATGCTGTCTGCTTGACAGTGCCCCACAGGTCCCCTGGACCCCACTCCCACTCCTCCAAAACTTTCACTGTCACTCTGACTTGATAATTCCATGTTCTATCATCAGGGTGGCCGATTCTTCCACCTGCTCAAATCTGCCTTTCACTCCCTCTAGTGAATTTTTTTTTATTTCTGTTATTTTAATTTCCAACTCCAGAATTTCTCTTTGGTTTCCTTCCAGATTTCCATCTCTTTATTGATATTTCCATTTTACTCCTACATCATTTTCTTGATGATGTAGTGTTTTAAAGTCTTCATGTGGGACTGCCATCAGGGAGTTTTCTGAGGGTTATTTTCTTCCTTTGAATGGGCCCTACCTCCCTGTTTCTTTGTGTGTCTTGTGACCATTGTTATTTGATACTGGACATTTGAAGGTATTTTTGTGATAACTCTGGAAATAATTCTTCCCTTCCCCCTGTGGCTTTTTTCCTTCTGTTTCTGTTTGATTATTTTTATTGTCATTGGCTGGCCTGGTGCCAAGGATGTGCCTGATGTGCAATCCTAGGGTCTTCTCAAGTCTACTCTGAGCCTGTACCTTCCCTAAGCATGTGTGACACTTTCTAAATCCCTCGTATTTTCAGTTATCTTTGAATGTACCCCAAAAGGTGCCTGGCCCCCAAAAGGTGAAACAGAGAAAAATGAAGTGTCCAGAGAATGTTCTAGCCTTTAAGTGCCCTGGAAGTCCCTTCAGCAAGACGGAAGCTCTTACCAAAAATTGGGGTGTGATGTTGGGGGGGGGGGGCGGTGAGTATGACAACTATGGCCACCCTGCTTTGTCCACACTCTCTGATCAAAAGCAACAACCAGTAACTAGCACAGATATTTGGAGGTCAGGATCCTTCCTGTCTACCCTGGGTCCTGCCGGCCATGTGCCCAGTGCCCCAGAATCTGTACACACCCACTCCAAGGGGCTAGGTAGAGGCCAGTGCAGCAGGTCCTAAGAGCTGAACTGACCTAGAGTAACTTCAGGGCATCATCGAACCTCCTCTGAAGCTGCAAATCCTCCGTAGAATGCAGAGTTTGGGAACAGCTAAAGCAGAGAGATTCTTCCAGCACGTCCCTCATCTGGGTGGGGCGAGAGATGTGGAGTGCTTCCTCCTCTACCCCCTTCTCCAGATGGCTAGCACTTTTAATATCATGACTCTTCTTACAGGATGGAACAGAATTGCCTCATAAATGTGGTTCATAAATATATAATAATAGATTTATCAAAGATCACCTATAGATAATCTTGCCAAGACTCCCAATGTGAGTCAAATATTGCATATGAAATCGCTAATCAACAGCAGGATCATTCTCTATAAACCAGACATGTATGTCCCTCCATGCTGCTAGCACTGTCCAGCCCTGGCTCCTTCTCCCATAGACAGCGCTTAGAAGCCACCGAGCTGAATGCTCTGTCCCACAGACCAGGCTCTTGCTAGGTGACCGTACCTGCTGCAGCTCTGGGCATGGGCAGATGGCCCTTTCTGGCAGGACACTATCTTAGGTGCTGCTCTAGCCCATGCTGACCTCCTTTCACAGATGTAAATCCTTCCTTCTTACCCACACCATTGCTGGCCACCCAACTACAGGTATCCTGTGCTTGTCCAAATTCCCACAGCCACCATCTTCCTGGCCATGTCGGGAGACGCAGGCTCCTCTGGCCTGGGCTCTTGTGACACCACATCAGACACAGGGCTTTCAGCTGGACAGAGGGGTGTGGAGGTCAGACCCTCTAGCTGCTGACTCATGGTGTGGGTGACGTCTGGGCCCAGTGCCTCTGCCAGACCTTCAACGGAGACTGGTGAGGGTCCCATGTGCTCCACAAGAGAGAGAGAGCGGGAAGCCTATGGGTAGAGAAGCCGGGACACTAACATGTCTTCAAGGGCAGAAGAAGGGGGTAGGCTGCAGAATACGAAAGCACTTCACAGGTTATGCAATGCTGGGGAATCGAAAAGCACCTCAGAGATGTGTACTGTGGGGTAGGCTGCTTAGAACACCTCACCCAAATGCCTTCTCACCACCCTCTGCTTGCCACCCCAGGCCACAGCCACAGCAGCCACAGCCCACACCCTGCCCCAGGCCACGGTGTTCTTCGCATTCTCCGTCATTCTCCTTGTCTTTTTGGTACCAAGGACTGAACACAATGGTGCTGAACCACTGAGCCACATCGACAGACCTTTTATTTTCTTTTTATTTTGGGACACAGTCTTGCTAGGTTGCTTACAGCCTTGCTAAGTTGCTGAGGTTGACTTTGAACCTGCGATCCTCCTGCCGGGGCCCCCCGAGCTGCTGGGATCACGTGTGGGGGCCGCTGCGCTGGCTGCCATTCTTCCTTCTCTCTCCACCTTGCTTTTCCTCTTAGGACTTGAGATGTCCTCAGACAAAAGGGAGGGGGCTCAGCTAAACGCCCTACCCTCCGCTGTGCCTGTCGATCCTCTCGGTGCCACAGAAGCTCAGGCGATGCCACTGATGGTGCTCTCCAGGGAAGAAGTGACTGGAAGCTGGCCCAGTAGCTCTGAGCACCCCTCACAGGCCGTGGGGCCGGGAAAGGCAAAGAACCGCGGTCTGGAATCGCAGGCCACAGGCGAGGTGGGCTGGGGAGGCCCCGGCTGCGGTCAGTGATCTCAACACACGACCCACACATGCGCTGTGGCTTGGAAGTCCATCTGAGCTCTCACTTGTCCTTGAGCGTGGGCCGCTGCGTCCACAGGAAGGGCTGCTCTCCAGGGTCTGAGCCCATCTGTTCCCACTTGACACTGAGATCAGAAAAGTGCGGCCCACAGGAGAATGAGGCTGCGCCTGCTGCAGCCTGAGGAGCTGGCCAACCGCAGCTGGGACCCCAAACGCTCTGACTCAGCCCAAGTTTGGTTAAAGGTTTGGAGCCACTGGCATTACTGCATACAAAAGTCCATGCTGAGTGCAGATTCTCAGATCAAAAACCAAGGAAAATAAACTTGCTGCCTCTGACCTTGGAGCAGTGACCGCCCCAAGCAGTTCTGAAGTGCTCACGGCTGCAGAAAGCCCAGCTTGACCTGGACATAATGACCTCCACTCAGCAATCCCACACCCAGAGCACGCTGAAGAAACCTTCAGAAACACACACCATCGTGGACAAAGTGGCTCACGGCAATGTTATTTTCAACAGCAAAATAAACCAGAAAGAAGTTGAATCTCCAATAATAAAGGTTTGTCTAACTGAATAACTGCAATTCCATACATCATTTAATGAATATTAAATATTCATTTAATACATCATATTAAATGAATTCATTTAATATCATGTAAAATCATAGAAGATATTTGTTATGTGTTTTCAAACAACGTTTTAAAATGCAAATGTAGAATCTGATCCCAGTTCTTTACCCACTACACATAGACACACATATGACCCACAGCGCACCCCACTTGGGTAAAAGACCTCGAGATGCTCAGCACAGCAGTACCCAAGGGCATTTAGTCTCCGGGGCAAAGTACTAAGGAGGTGGTGCTTTCTTCTCTGTGCTCAGACAGTTCCCAAATTTCTACAATGATCCTCAACTACTTTTAAAAAATAATAATTTGTTTTCACCAGATTTCATTATTAAGTGTTTAACTTATGAAATACTTAAAATCTACCGAAAGTCAATAGTCCGTCTCATCGGTAGATACGCATCAATAGTAAAGAAGAAAAAGCATTAGTTACACAAAAAAGGTAGGAGAGTGGGCAGACCACATGTCCAGTGAGAAACAGAGGCCACAGGCCCTCGGCCTTGCCGTGAGAGTGGATGTCACTTTCTCAACCTGTTAGTGAGTGGCCACACTAAGGAGCCCCCGGGACCATTACACCACACCTGCTGCCTCCCAGGTCCAACCCTGAGCCAAGCTCCTCCTGCATTTCCAGCTGCCTCCTGCACAGCTGAGGAGGGATAAGAAGTCAAACCAGGCTTCACTCGGACACACAAGGACCAACGACCCTCTGCAGCTGAGGCCCCTCGTGCACTCTCCAGCCTCACCTCTGTGGGACACAGCAACAGCACCCGCCCCAGGGCAGAGCTCAGAGTTTCACGGGACCAGACCCAACCTCCAAAGCCACCCAACCCCACACCCGCCACACCTCCCCTCCCTGTCAGCCCTACCTCTGCTAAGGACACAGTGGCCCACTGAGCAGCTGCAGGTGGCACATGTGGTTTCCTCCCCTCCACATCCAGGGGGCGCCTGCTCCCCCTGGCTCTGCAACCCACCTTCCCTCCCCTGCTCGCACCTCCATACAGCATCTTCCCACTCTGGCTGTGTCCCGCTTCCCTGCAGACTCCACAGCCCATGTCCTGGGCAGCAGGTCTGTGCTGGCCCCTCCTCCCTGCTTACACCTCGCCCTCCTGGCCACATGCTCCGTCCCCCTGCACCTTCAAGACCGGCCCTGCCTTCCCTGGGGGGCGGCTGTGTCTCCTTCCTCCCCGAAGCCTTGGGGGTCTCTCTGCAGCTGGCCCTTGGCTCACATCCTGGACCCCACTGGGGCTGCTCTGCTCGGGGATGCGGGAGGCTGAGCAACGCGGGACTCCGCACCTACTTCCAAATGCCTGAGCCAGGAGGCTCTTCCCAGGGCCTCAGGGGTGAGAAGCAGCTGGACTCTTGGGTCTCTGTCCACAGTCGTGAAGGGAAAGCACTGTGGGGACTGGGCTGCCTGTGGGCAAGGCTCAGCTTCTGGACAGACAGACTTACAAGTCAGGAGAGGGCAGATGATACAGACACAGATGCCGTGGCTGCTATGGTTTGGGAATATCCTCCAAAGCCCCTGTGTGGAAGTCTTGGTGCCCAGCCAGCCACACTACAGAGAGGTGGTCCAGCCCTCGGGAGGCCAGCCTAGGGGGGGAAATGAGGTCATGGAGACATGCCCTTGAAAGGGGGCAGTGGGTCCCAGCACCTCCTCTTCCTTTCTCTTTGCTTCTCAGCCTCGAGGCCTCAGGGTCTCTGGATGCCGCTGGGCTGAGGTGAGGGCTTCTTCTGCCACATTTCCATGTGATGTGCTGCCTGGCCACAGACCCAGAGGCAATGAGGCCTAGTGACCACAGACTTGAGATCTCTGAAACTGGGAGCCGAAATAAGCCCTTCCTTCCTGGAAGCTGTTATCCAGGTGCGCTCCCGCAGTAACAGCAAGCTCACTGACCGGGGCTTCGCTGGGAGGGCGGGTTCCCAGGGACAGGGCAGTGGGGCTCACCAAGCCCTAGCCACACCCACACAGAAAGCTCAGCTGCAGGATGGGCCTGGATAGGGGGCTGGAAGGGTCAGCCAGCTCTGGGACAAACCCAGGAGGGTGGCACTGCAAGGAGGTAGCCACACACGGGCAAAGGTGCGGGAACAGCTCCCACTACGGGTGCCTGTGCCCCTGCAGGACCTGCGGGGCCGAGTGGGCCCTCGCCAGCCTGGGTCTGAGCCAGCATGCCTTCCCACCTTCAGCAAGCTCCCTGCGGCTGGGAGCGGCATCAGTAGATCCATCAGCTGGTGCCATGAAGGACAGAGGGAAGAAAGTGCTCGGTGTCTCACAGACCCTCATCCACGGGTGCACAAGGTCAGGCTGCAATGCCAAGTCCCAGGAGCCTGAGCCAGGCAAGGTGGTGAGCCTCCTGAGAGCAGCTGGTAACAAGCATGTGTCCAGTGCGATCCCCACGACCTGCGGCACAGACACCGCTCCTGCTGCAGGCGAGGTCTGCCCTCCCCACGTCGCGCACACCTGGGCGCACACCTGGGCGCACACACCTGGCCTGGAGGAGCCTCGCTGGCTGCTGGATGCTTTCAGTCGCAGTTCTGCCTTCGCCTGTGCTGTGCCCTCGTCAGCTGGTGACACGTCCTGCTAGTCCCCTGCCCTGTTAGGTGACACATCAGGGACAGCCTGTGTGCGTCTCCCAACACTGACAGCCTTCCTGAGAAACCAGGGCTCTGACACTTCTGTGGGAGGGGTTCCGGGGAGATGCCAGTTCTGTCTGAGGTGGCTCCTGTGATCTGTGGCGGGGCTCCTGGAGCACAGGGAGCTTCAGCTAGAGGAGTGAGGACCCACCCCTGCTGAGGACGGGCCGTTTAAAGAGGGGAATTCTGAGCCCTGCAGCTACACGGAGGAGCCTCGAGGACCCGGAGCTGCGTCGAGAGTAGTCACAAAGCACACCCGCTGCCCCTTCCACCTGCAGGGGCCAGAGAGGCCGACCAGAGAGAGGGAAGGCAGGGTGGTGCCTCCAGGGCCACCGTGGAGAGACGGAGCTCTTGCCTGTGGGCACAGGTTCACTTTTGCATGGTAAATATGTCCTGGGTATTGGTGGCACAACAGCACGAAGACACCTGAGACGATCAGGACGGAAAACATGTTAAGACAGGAAATGCTACGTGTCCTTTTACTTCCATTTTAAAACCTTTAATAAATAACTTGTATATACGGGAATCACACTATCAAAAAAATCAGAAGATACACTGGAATCTATTTATTGTCAACTCTCAGCATCTCACATTGATCCTCCCTCCTTCCCATCTTGGCACAATCATCAGGAAGTGCCTGACACAGCAGGGCAGGGTCTGGACGCACCCTGACTCCAGTGATGGACATCTGCAGCCTCGCACATCCAGTGCCCCACTGAGAAACAAGACGTCAGAAAACTCCTTACGGAATCCAGGAACAGGAGCTCTTTAAAAAAAAAAAGAGGTTATCAAGCAGAACAGCGTGGCGATGTCAAAGGAGACCAGTTTAAACACTGGAGTTTTCACAGGATGAATTAATAAATCACACATATTGAAAAATAAACTAAAATGTGTTTTTCATGAAAAGTAAAAATGCCTTGTCAGGAAAGAGCAGGGGGCTGGGGGCTGAAAGTTCTCACTGAGGATGGCCAACAGTGTCCCACGCCAGCATGCAGAAGGTCACAGGGACCCTCACTGTAAAAGGAGCATGTTTGTCTCTGTCAAGTTTCTAAAATTGTCACAAAAGAATGAACCTAGAGCCCCACCTCTCTTCATAGGCAAGACCAATGAGACATGATCCAGAGAGCACAGGGAGGTCCCACCGGGAGACAGCTGGAAGACGGCAGCTCTACTCTGTGCTCCTCGGCCGAGGGCAGCTCTGGTGGCGGTCAGCCGCGGTGCACAGGGGAGACGGCAGCGAGTCATGTCTCTCACGGGGCCAAGTCCAGGGAATTTGATATGTATTTTCTAGGACCGGATCAAACTTGGAGAAAATTATTGTTTCTAATTTAGTCGTCCAGCCCCAAGACCAGGACGCGTCTTGCACCGCCTCGCTGCATGGGCTGGGAATTTCCACTCTGCTGGTGAAGACACAAAGCACCTCCAAGGAGGCTGCGCGGCAGGCAGGCTGGCGGTGCTCGCCTGTGCCAAGTGGCCGGTCTCCGTGGATGCCCTCGCCCTGACCAGCTACGCTTGTCCAGAACCAGGGTTTTGCTTATTGACCACCAAGCCACGTGATCAGGCTCTCAGATAGGCCTGAAGCTGTATGATGGCTTGAACTGCTGAAGTTCACGGATTTCAGGGCCATTTACAAACTGAAAGATCTGGAAATCACCTCTGTATCTCAATCCTGGCCCTCCGAATTCTATTGATCCCTGGGGTTGGGCCAGCAGGGGCTTCCTGTTTACATAAACCTGTGCCCCCTTATCTGTGACGAAACACACGGAGTCGCCCCAGCAAGCCATCCCTCACTGCAGTCTGTAAACTGTCTGCCATGTGCTAGGCGGTTTGGACGTTTCCAAGGGAGTGAAGACTTCAGGAGGTTCCACTGTGGCCGCAATCACTCCCACCCAGCACGTTGGCGCCAGGGAGGACTGGCAGACCCTAGGGCACAGCTCTGATCTCTGGGTAAAGGTCCTTTCTCTCAGGCACAACAGGGCAAGAAACATCCATCTTGCAGAGCCGATCAGGGGGGCAGGGCTGTGCTGCAGCTACCCTGGCCAGGAGAAGCAGGAGCATGCCTGTCCTGTGCCACGCACCCCAAAATGGCAACGCACACCCAGGGGCAACCGCATACTCCTGCCATGGTTTCCATTGGAGACAAAGGAAAGTAGAAGAATCAGCAGAACTCCCAGCAGGGCTCTCTAGACAGGGCACTGCAGGGTCATTATCCAGGTCATCACAGAAGACCGTGTAAACAGCGCTCCATGCCGAGGCGGGGAGAAGGTGCTGGTGGAGTCCACATATTGTGAATAGGAGTCCCTTGGCTTGGGGGGCATGGAAG